GATTAGATAATTTAGGACACGTAAATAGTGTTAAGAAATAAAACTGAATATAAGAATTTGGTTCACTCCTCTTAATAAAGTTTACTTTTTCGGATGAAACAATAAATCTTAGCATGACATCAAAGCCTATTAAACTCTAACGAGCAATTCGATCCAATTAAGATAAAAAAAGAGCATGCGAATTTCAATATTAGTCTACTCAAACGAGCTACCATTTTGCGCGGACATGTTAAAGTGAAATCACGTGTTCACCATCTTGATCGGTTTGCTTATATCCTAGACCTCTCCTATTCCCAGCAAGCTAGTTCAACACTAAAATTACCTAGAGGGAGGTGAATAACGTGGAATTAAAAGTATCAATTTAAAAGCAACAAATCACTTTTTAATTGTTTCAGATGCTTAATCAATCAAGTTAACTTTATCATATGTTGAATTGCCACAATAGTAAATAAAGCAGTAAATCACACAAAATTTGTTGACGGAGAAAATCCTTTACATGATTAAAAATTTCAAGACCAAGCTAGTGACTTCCACTATAGACAATAAGAACTTACAGTATGATCTAGCCTAGAATGCCCACTAGACTTGCTAATCTAATTTCTGCAATTTTTAAGACTCGTTGGAACCTGTTTTACTCACACGTGCTCCCGATCTTCTAGATTGTTTATCTTCTGTGGATCAACAAGAACACCTTATTCTTATACTTTTGCTTCTGGTCCAACCTTCCTCAATTTTCAGCAACCTCTAAAGTCTATTGAAAAGGTGCCTTCCTGATTATATTTAGGAAGTGAGTGTTTTGGATTATATGATATTAATGTTTTTCTAAATTTGTGATTGATCTCCAAAGAATGTTATGAAGGTAGAAAAGAATGATCAACTACAGTTTTCACAAAGTGAGGCTTATGTATTTATATAGTAGAGGGGTATTATGGTAGTATAAGATAGACAGAACTCTTAAAAATTGTGAACTAGGTTTTCTTGGAAAATACCATCATTCGAGCACCAGGCGATCAATAGATGTGCAACAATAATTTTGTTTTGGATGCTTGAGCATCAACTTAGCGACAGACTAGTATAATTTCAATGACTCTTTCTTGATATTCCATTCTCGAAACCAACGACTCTAATTTATCAATACAACATCTCAAATAGCTCCTTCACATTCATAACTCTTTTATATTAATCATTTTGTCTAAAGAATAGCCAATACAAATTAAGACCTAAAAAACTCTCCCTTTAACATTCTGTAACAAAATATACAATACAAGTTAATAAAGTAAAAACAAAATTAATCTATCAAAACTCAAATTGAATGTCTGTCTCTAGCTTTCCTTATTAAACATGTTTTCCTGAAATCAACAACTCAAAGACCAAGTATCAAAGAACGTGAAATAGGAAATATAACAATTGAAACACACTATCGAAAATATGCTAGTTAGATTGAGAAGTAATACTAATGTTAATCAAAACAATAACTAAAACATTAATATCACAAAACATCAAAACTCAAAAAAGCTACGCATTATGGTGTATTATGATATGAAATGCCATGAAATACTATCATCTCCCCTTACTGCAAACTCTCTCATCTCCTCATTTTTGTCACAAATGACGAAGGGAATTATAGCACAAGCAATTATCTTTCTTCTCTCTTTTTTTTTAAAGTCAAATATCATTATCAAAAACCAACAACAAATATATAACAATTCAAAGATGAAGTTGATAATATGTACAAGCAAAATCAATGATCGGTAAACATTCCCACATACTCAGTTCAAGTTAAATGGAGTAAATTGTATAAATGACCCATGTGTGTAAAGTTTCACGAATCCTTGTAAGATATGTTAATCTATGGTTGCCTTCTCGTTTTGATTATAAAAAACAAATTGTGTTTATCTCTAACAGGTTGAATTCGAGTCTCTGTAGCCTTTATTGTAAATTGATAAATTGAATGCTCAAAGATCTCTATCAAAAGAATTGCAATTAACGATCAAACGATCAATATGGAGGCAAATTGACGATCAATAGACATGAAGACGAAAATCGAGCACTCACGACAAATCACTTTGAAGAATTGCAACTGTCAAACATCGAAGACAATAGACTTTGATGCTTTGAATTTATATGTAAAAGTAAAGCACTTTAATTCTTAGTATTGAATTGCAATAGCTCAAAAAGAATTTTCATGCGAAAGAAAATCAAGTTTTTAAATTATCACATAACAAAATTAATTTTCAAAAGGAAAATTGGACAGACAAAACTTTGTACAAATTACTTATCCTTAAAAATTAAGCGAAAAAGTCATTTAAAAACCTACATTTTTTAAAACTATCAAAAAGGAAAATTCTGGAGTTATTCTGCCCTAACAGATGTCTGATTGGTTCCAACGGTAATTTTTTTAACCGTTCTGAAATTTGATGCACAATGGCTAGTTCTTTACTATTCGGTTCAGAGCGGGTCATCCAGATGGTTGGTTTGTCCGATTCAACAAAAAAACCTGACATTTTGATTGCTATAAATACCATCTTACTTTACATTCACTAACAACTTTTCATGAACGTTTATTGAGCCAAACTACTTTGTTTTTCATTTATTGAAGATCAAATCATTCATTTTTGAAAAACTTTTTTGAGTAGATCAAATTATTGAAAATCACTTTTCTCACAAACGTTTTTCTCATCTTACACTTGATTTATATTCATTGATATCTTTTAAAATGTTATCATATTTCTCTCTTGGTACTTAATTTTAATTATATCATTTATTAAGAGAGAAGTTCAAATTGTAAACTCAATTACTCTTTGAATTCACGGGTCATATAGAGGTATCGTAAAGCTTTATATTGTAAAAGGATCAGTGCTCCTTGATTGTAAATCATCGGAAGCACTGTAAAAGATTGGATTGCACCATAAGTCAATCAATGTACTATAAAAGGCCTTGCTCATGGCGGAGAGTTTGGTAACGGAGGAAATAGATAATTGGTTTGGATCGAACATCCACAATTACATCATTTGCACACTCTCTTCCTTTTTACTTATTGCTTTCGTATTTGTGTATATTTGTTTAATTTGCTATCATATTGGTTTAAATATAGAATTAATTTCAAAAAAAAATTTAATGACCAATTCATCACCCTCTTGGTTAGTTATTTTTAGGCTTCCAAGTTAAATCTTAATTTTGTGAGAAAAGATACGCTAAACATCACTGTCAATAAATAAATAAATAAATATGTATATATATATATATACACGAGAAAATGATGACCAACTAAGGTTTTCATGAAGTGGGACTTGTGTATTTATAGTAGAGAGGTATTAGAATAGTATAAGATTGATAGAACTCTTGAAAGTCGTGAACTAGAATTTCTCAAAAAACACCATCGCTCGAGTTTCGGTGAGCGAAAAGTGTGTATCGTTCGAGCGATAGTCGGGGCGGCGATGACTTTGTTTTGGATACTCGAGCATCAGCTCAACGACAGGCTAACATAATTTCGGTGATTTTTTCTTCATGTTCCATGCTCAAACCCAAGACTAATCGTTCATTTATACAACATCTGAAAACACTTCTTACTTTTACAACTCTCTTATATTAATTATTTTATCTAAAAAATAGTTAATAAAAATTAAGAACTAATATAAGAAATAAAATTCCACATCAAATAAAGATGAAAATATAAATCAATTTATAAGGGTTTAGACTACTATTCTCAATAAAGTTGACATTTTAAGATGAAACCCCAAATCTTAACAAATAGATTGTATTCGATTATTCGATTTCACGAATATGTTTGTTCAACTAACTCAGAAAAATTGAAAGCTTAAACCTCCCTCAATTTCATTGAGAATGTTACCTCGAAAAGATAAAATCGTGGTGTTCTGGTAGCGATACATTGATAACAACTTGACAGTCGAAAAATATGTTCAAAAAAATCATGTAATCTTTAACATATAGATACCAAATGTTAGTACGAATTTATAACAACTTTTATATATTAATTTCTCAATCAAACTTTATTTTTAAAATAATAAGTCTACCCGAAATCCAGGAAATATCCAAAAATCACAATTGTTCCTGATTTTTCCGAATTACAATTTAAAAGTTCGTACGTACCATTTTCTCCCCCTTTTGGATTTTCCTCGACACTTTATGGATTGGGCGTCTGCCTATGGGCTCGAATACCTGCCCAGCCAACGCAGCCACCTTAAAATTTTGGCCCATGTACTGACCTAATTAGGCCCAAAGGTATGAAATATTCAAATATTATTTTGTTATTACTAAGTTTCTGTTCTGTTGCCAGAAAATCTTGTCGACAACAGAAATTACGACAACAGTAATGAATCTCATGAAATATATTGTTAAAATTAATTATTGACTTTAACTTAAAATTTAATTCACTTTTAAGTTAAACCAAATAGGCGCTAAAAATAATGTTACTCCTTTGGCCCGAGTTTGGTACAGCACTTCTCAAGCCACATTTCAGACAGATCCCACACCGATTAACACTCACTTTCAGTGCTATTATTTCAACACAAACTAGAAATTACGACTCTTAATAGCTAATTTATACTGTGTTCCTTTATGTATAATTAAAGCTTAAAATAAAAATGTTACTATTCAAGGTATTAGCAAAATTAATGTTGTTTTTGCTCTACTCTCACTAGAAAACTAATCGAAGATGTGATGTGACACGTACATACAATGACTGCAATCAAATTCATTTTTGTAGCAATTGTTGTACAGTTTATGTTCTACCCCACTGTTTGCATTGTTACAATATTGAAAGTTTAATAGCTAATTAATTATCAATTAATTAATTAAAATAACTATTTATTTAGATATTATTTAAATCAATAGTTTAGCCGATAGCTCTAGCTATCTAATGAACTCTTGAATGCATTACAAAATTATATTGTAACGGTGAATTCGAACACAGAACATGCGATATAATGTGGTAAATCCTCAAAGTGAACAATCATGGGTAAATAATTCGTTATAGAAGATGGATACAATCCTTTTGTATTTTTGGGTATTACAATTATTTTCTTGATCATGTCAAGAATCCTAATGAAAAAATCAACAACAGAAATCAGAAGTAACTAATAACTTCCCTTGTTTTAACTCTCTTGATTTGTTGAAGAATGGAACAAAAATGCGATCTTGATCTCCCGTCACTCCTACGATTGAAATCAGTATGCTTCAAAAACGAAAAATTTGTTCTTATTTTTCATGCATACATGCAACTTCTATATATGAATTCCATCAAGCACCAATTTACAATTTTATACAGTTGATTTGAGGAAGAAACCACCTTAGATAACGTATTAATTTTATGTAGTTGATTATGGATATGATTCATTAAAAATATTGATACATAAGAAGAATAGACAACGTCTTCCAAAAATCTCACCAATGCAATATGTGTACAAAATTATGTCTAGTTGACGTGACAAGATAAACACCAAAAGAGATACATATTAGTGCTATTTGTATGGATGTCCTAAAAATAAAATATAGCTCCCGTTTGACCCCCATTAAATCCAATTACATTATATTTAATTTTTCTCTCTCCTATTTTCAACCACACAGTCTTCTATAAAATAATATTATGCGTAAATCGAAAACTGTTTCTTTTTTTTTTCAATCACTCATTTTTCAAAAAAACATTATTCTACCCATTTTCATTTTCAGGAAATGGGGCCAAACGGGAGCATAATTATAGGAAATTGGGGCCAAACGGGGCATAATTGCATATTGTTAATAGGGCCCTATCTTCGCCTAGTATGGCCAAGGGACACCCCATGTGATATTGCAGTAAATGATTATTCAACAAACATTAGGAATTGTAGCTAATTAGATGAAATTAAGGATTGAACGGTCTCGTGATTGGGTGACTAGCGGATACTACGAGTGTGGCCCACGTTCTTTGCCTCTATTGTCGGTCCACATCTTCTGCAGTTACATTTTCCTGCACTTTGCCTCACTGAGCGTCCCAAAAGCATTAGGAAACTGAAAACGCTTTTGGGAAGAATTTAGGTAGACGCGTTCCAAATGTACACTGCAGGAACTGCAACTGTAGGGGCTCTACCTTGGGCCCCATCCATTCAACGCCTCACTTCCGAAATAAAGATCAAACTACTTGGATAAAGTTTGTTCATTAACAATACATAGATCTCTACTTTTTGCTGCGCATTCAACCATTGGAGTGGGGCTCACATAAACATCTCTAAATCAACGTATTTGCTATCATGTTCATACTTTTTAAACTGATTTTTCTTACAAGGTATAACCTCTCATGTGACGAGGGCTGTCGACAGTTCTGTGTGCACAGCATCGTCCTTTTTAAATAGTTGGACATATCATATTACATATTAAAATATGTCGAAATCTTTCTATTTGATAAAAAAAAATAAATAAATTATGTAGACTCGAGACATAATGCATTGGATAATAAATTGAGTTAACAAATTACAAATTGCACACATAATAATAGATAGAATTCTTTGACAAGCACATTCTACTAGGATCCCACTTGCTAGTATGATCCCTTCGAATTACCAATATTTATAAGGGTAATACTACTTGTACATAATGATGTACACACGAGTTTACACTCCCTCACATGGAGAAGGACCCACATATAATAAAATATTCATGAGCTCCCTCGAAGTGAGATATACACTCATCGTTATTTTTTTCATAACGACGACGCAAAAAAATTGAAATATCTGGTATGTTTGGCAAAATTTTTGTTAGATTGAAAACCTTGAATTCTATATATATATATATGGATAAACTTATCGTTGATCAGCTAATAAATAATTATAAACTTTGCCAAACATGTACGTTTGATAAAGTTTTATAATTTATAAACATTACTAACCATTATGTGGCAATTATAATTTTAGGAATAATATTTTTTTAAGATTATATGGTTAAGAAATATGAAAAAGTTTTTGATTTATGTATAATATTGATGTGGTACAGAAGGAATTAAATTGTATGGAAAAATGAGATTGGCACAAATAAAAATATGCAACTTTCTGATTTTTGGAAATATTTTGAGATTGTTCATTTTTTGCAAAATTTTAGTCAGATTTAATTGAAAACGGGCCAATGAACAAAACTTAATAAATTTGCTCTAGGCATAAACCCAAAAAGGGGCAAATTCCTTGATTTAGATATTTGTTTAAGCATTTTTTCTTTTTTGGTAAATTTTATTTTGGTTATATCTCTATCAATTGAAGTCGGATTTGAATTCCGTTTGTTGGAGACTAACCCTTAAAATTAGGATATTCAATTTTAGTCATTATCTTTATTTTTGGGAAAATAATAGTTTTTTTTATTTTTTTCCAATTTTTCTTAAGTTTTTCTTATATAAAACATTGTAAGTCATTTGTGGCCGTATTAATTCATAGAAATAAAATTTTTTCATCTTGTGCGATTTGTTCATCTTTCTTATAACCTTTCGTTACGTTAAATATAATTTTATAAAAGATTATGTGGTTGAAAATAAAATGAAGAAAAATAAATTTTTGGAATAATGTGAGCCAAACGGTACTAAGTGCGTGAATAAAAAGTGAGTAAAAACTGATAGGAGACTATGATTTTTTTTATTTTTTAATAAAATGAATCTAATACAGGATATTTTTATCGATTTAAATAAATCTTCTTAAGCTNNNNTCTCTCTCTCTCTCAAAATGTGTTAGCTACAATGCCAGTGGAAGGGAGAGAGCTTTTTCTTCTTCCTGCTAATCTTCTGCTGTACCGGCATTGCTACGGTGTCGTTTTGTGGTGATGTGCTCAACTACCTTGGTCGCATTTCACTTTATGTCTGTTCGAAGCAGCTCGTGATCCGCAGTACACTAAAACTACGCATTTCAGGTGATTTTTCTATCTCTTTTTTTCCTTTTTTACATTTACAGCTTTACTCTTTTCCTTTTGAAGTTTCTTTCTATGGATTCAATGAATGAATCTGTTGAATTGACCGTGACCTTGTTTTACTCTATATATTGTGTAATTTGTTGAATTTCAGTTTCATTTTCAGCTGCATTTGCTATTCTCAGGTCTTTGATTCGCTTTCCTTTGCTTTGCTAGAATAATAATTTTCTGAGTTTTCTGTTGTTAATTTTTATTTTTTGCTGCAACAATGCTAATGTATAACTCATTGTGTTCTCTCCATTTTAGGAGTGGATCTCCATTACAGATTTCTGTAAAACTTCGTCCTTTAAATTCATGGTCTGTAACCGCTCATTTACTGAAAGATTTCTAATGTTTGATTATTTTTCAGTTACTCGGGGAATTAAATATGCTATTTCTTGTCCAGAATTAATGCATTACTCCTATTCAAAATTTAAAATAAAATTTTTATGTAATTATTTCAGTACATCACACTAATGCTGTAGCTATATATTCTTATGCATGTGCTATTGTCAAGTAAATTGTTCTATGATGTGATCTCTAATTCTTATCAGTTTGACTGTAATTTAAACTGTTTCTCATTGTCTTTTCTGTTTCCTTTTTGGTACTTTTTGTCCCCAGAACCCCCCCAAATAGAAGGGAAGTTAACGCAGCTTATGATATTTGGTTGTGGGTATTGTGAGAAGACTGAAACATCTTGTCTCAAGTTGACTTCAACAGTTAACGGATATTTAATTTTGTAGGCAATGGAGAAGTATGAAATACTGGAACAGATAGGAAAAGGGGCTTTTGGCTCTGCCCTTCTTGTAAGGCACAAGCTTGAAAAGAAGAAGTAAGCTTCGAACTAACTACGTCTTTACCTTTCCCTCTTATCTGGACAAATATCATTTGTCATGTACATCATCTTTAACTTAATAATTAAATAATGCATTTTTTCCATCATTGATTGATTTTACCTTGTTCATTTTTGGCTTAATATTAAGGTATGTATTAAAAAAGATCCGTCTTGCCCGCCAAACCAATCGGACACGTCGATCTGCACATCAGGAGGTTAGTGGTGTAACTAATTTCTTTTTTCTTGCTCATATAAGGTGGTTTATTCTGTTTGCCCCTTTTTTATCTGTAGACTTTTTCATACTTCATATGGTTATGTAGCATTTGTATTCTTGAAATTGAGTGTTAGGAATAGGGAATTTGACCATACTGTACAAGAAACAAATAATCCTTGTTACTCTAGCACTAGTTCCTAAACATTTAAGTAAAAGGAGCAAATGATCCTTCTTAAGTCTTGTACTGGTTTTGCAACATCCGGTATTGTTCGCTGGCGCGCACAAACACACACACACACACACAAAATCATTTGATGTGTCTCTAAATTTCTGTACTTCTAAGATATCTAAAATGATGCATTTTCCCGTGTTTTATAGATGGAGCTAATATCAAAAATGCAGAATCCATTTATTGTGGACTACAAAGATTCATGGGTGGAGAAGGTGGACACCTCACCTGTTTGTACTAATATTTGTCCGTCCTTGGTATTCATACTGAGGATTTTTATTGCTTTTATGAGTATTCTTCTTTAGTTGGTATATTAAATTTAACCATCAATGTGCAAGCTATGCTCATTCAAACTAGCATATCGATAGGTTCCTCCTACATTGGTTGCTGGTCGCTAGCTTCATCCGACTTTGGACAATTTTTGAAATTTCATGATCTTAATTAGCATGAAAGATGAACTTCTTTTGATCTATTGAATTTCTCAAATAATGAAGCGTTTCACATGTTAACTATGCCCTTAGCTTGGTATATAACTGAAATTTAGTACAAGCTTTTAGTCACTTACGAGAAATAATACATTTTTCTTTTATGTAATTCAATGCCTGTTATACTTCGAGAAAAACTTTCCTGACTTTTACCCATGGTTTGTAAACTGAAGGAATTGCAGATTTAATTACTGCATCAGAAGTAACTGAAGTATAAACTAGAGATAGACATTTCCCATAATCTATACAATGTAATGGAATTCAGTACTCAGTTGACATATACCTTGCCTTGCCTCTGGCAAGTGGGCAACAATAATTTTTCTTGGTGGCTATACACTTGTTTATGTCTTCTTCATCAATTTTTTATTACTGTTTTAAGAAGTTTAAAGAAACCATGCTAGTTTCCAAGAAATGGAAAATAAAAATAATGATTGTAAGAAACTTATGTGTTGTTGGTTAGAAATGTCAGAGCTTCTAATTTACTTGTGACCTCCTAAACGTTGTTATAGTTGATTTTTGTAAACTTTTTTCTCAGGGTTGCTATGTGTGCATTATCATAGGTTACTGTGAAGGTGGAGACATGTAAGTTATTCTTGTTTTTTCAGACTGTAACGTTGGTCTGTGATCTATGTTTCTGAGTGAAAGTGCCCTCTTCCCCGACTCACACGCACACACCCCGAAAGGAAAAGGAAAGATAGATAGATCTTCATATCTTCTGCCACTTCTGGTTTGTAGGGCAGAAGCAATAAAAAAGGCAAACGGTATCCATTTTCCAGAAGAGGTAATTTCTGCATTTGCACTTTTCTTTTTTTTTTTTTTTTTTTAAGTGTGAAGTGTTAAAAATAAAAATAAAGTGTTAAAAAATTTTTTTTTTTTTTTTTTTTTTTTGGTGTCTGGATACCGAGTATTTTGTGGATTATCACCCAATTTGTATGAATCTTTTCGTCTAAATTATATTTCTACTGTTTGCAGATCCTATGTAAGTGGCTTGTTCAACTTCTTATGGCACTTGACTATTTACACATGAATCATATTCTTCATCGAGATGTCAAGGTTAGTTGGAAGCATCTGTCTCCTTGGTGGATTTGTTATAACATATTTTTGAGTTCGTTAAAAGCTTATAGTAATTATGTTGCTAAAATTCCTGCAGTGTTCTAATATATTCTTAACAAGAGATCGCGATATTCGTCTTGGTAAGAGAATATGTATAGATCTAAATTAATTTCCAATTTTTGGCAACCTTAATAGAGTTGCTCAACTATCATGATTGCTGTTGTAGGTGATTTTGGACTTGCCAAGATGTTGACTTCAGATGATCTTGCTTCCTCTGTAAGTAATATAGTCAGCATAAATGGTTTATTTTACATTTCAGTTTTTGTCTTGTCAGTCTTATTCTTGCTGTTTTGTTTTCAGATAGTTGGAACTCCCAGTTATATGTGCCCTGAGCTTCTTGCTGATATACCTTATGGCTCCAAATCAGACATATGGTCACTTGGTAAGCTAATTTTTTTCTAAATGAAACACAGTTCCAGTAATATAAGTTCATGCACACACAGATTCCTATGGAATTAAAGTAGATCCTAATTGATATTGACGTAGCTTATAGGTTTTATTTCAACCATGCTAATGTCTACCAAATTGTGTCATCCAGGATGCTGCGTATATGAGATGACAGCACTTAAACCTGCATTCAAAGCATTCGTAAGTTGCTGTTAATCTAATCTTGAAGCATGCTGATAAGATTGATTTGTTTGTCAATCATTTGTGTTAAAGGAGTGTAAAATATTTCGAGCAAAATAATCTCCTGCACATACAAGAGGAAATGATTAAACTGTCTTGGAGTGTTCCTCATTCTTGTGACATTACCTGTATTATGGAAGTAATTTTTTTCTCTCCAATATATGTATTATGGTGCATTAATTCTTGCCAATTCATCTGCGTATGATCTATATTCAATCATAAATATTATGCCTATCTGTTGGTGCTGATTGTGACCTTTTCATTGGCTTCAGAAATTTGGTACATTTTTTGAGCATTTGATTTGCTATTGTATATTAAGCATACTATGTTGTTTAGATCTGAAAGTAATAGGATGGACTAGTTGATGCTTATGAATTGTTGTTAGCAATGATGTACCGACACGGACATGCCAATACGCGAGTTTTTTTAAAAAATAAATAAATAATAAAAAATTGACACGACACGTGACTGACACGTCGATTAAATTCTTTAACATTCTATATTTATATAGTATAAATTTAGTCTTATATTTGTTATTAATTTTTATTGTTGAAATATTTTAAATAAAATTACCTATTTGTTATTGAATAGTAAATTTGAATTAAAAATATATAATATTTATGATAAAGAAAGAAAAATGACCACGGTGGAGTTTCCGAGGAGTGTCGATATATTCGATACTTGTCCGACATGTGTCAAACACAGAAACGCCACCATAGTTGAAGTCTCCCATTCAACACAGGTTGTAAGGTATGTTCTAATACTGGACATTTCTAAGAACTCTATGCACCATGGGTTAAAGATGGTTGAGGCATTCGGAGAACATTGAAAAGACTTTAAATATCTACTTATCTGGTTCCTATTGAAGTTGTTATGAGTTGTTGGATAGTAGCATGCATGGCCGAGCGGTTTTAGCAGCATATCAGTTGCACATTTGCATTCTATGCAGGGTACCGTTCGAGCATGATCTGGAGGCTTGTTCTGACAAGCAAAGGGAAAGAATATTCTTTTGGAACTTTAACATTTTTAATAATCTCCTGATAAAATGTAGCACACATTCTCCAGCATAGGATAATATTAGAACTTGACAAACAACAAGGAACACTTGTTTGTCAGAAATTGAACTTATAATTGGATTGAAATCCTTCTACCTTGTTTTAGGATAAATAATAATAGCATGATCTGTGTCCTAGTCTATAATGATAGGATTCGGGTATGCTCTTTTAAGCCAACATATTGCACATTGTTAATGGAGTGGATAGGTGGTTGTACTTTCGTAGAATCTTGTCACACATAATCCTTGGACCCCCCACAACAACTCAACCTTGTTCTCTAATCTTCATTTATTTTGAATGTATTCCAGGCTTCCTGTCAACTCTTTTAGTTTCTGCTGTGTAATTGTTTGTCATGATCTAGTTGTTAATTTCTGTAATTTCTCATGCAGGATATCCAGGCACTCATCAATAAAATAAACAAGTCTATTGTGGCGCCACTACCCACAAAATACTCTGGTGCATTGTAAGTTATCGCACAGTGTTGTTTTCTAGTTGTTCTTCAAGACGAGTTCTATTTTCCTTTTCAAGTTACTTTCATTTTCTAAAACTTGTCTTGAATTTGTAATATATGTTGCATTTATTTTTATGTCAAACAACTTATATTAGCAAACAAAATCTTAGGAATCACGAAGTTGTATTCATGTTTCTCCATCGAGTGCACACAGAAGTGAAAATCGAATCATGTCTAGCAAGTTCCGAAGATATTGCTAAGATAATCTTATTTGATGAACATCAGTATAAGCGTGGTTTTTTTTTTTTTTAAAAGAAACGTCATTATCATTTTTCTCAAATGTAGTTCTCTTATTCTTCTGTGACCAGCTAATTCATATTATTTTGCACACCTATGTTGCAGCCGGGGTCTGGTAAAAAGCATGCTGCGGAAAAATCCAGAACTTCGGCCTAATGTAAGCTCTGTTCTGTAAATCCCATTTTACATTACATATCATATTACACACGTTGGAATTGAAATTTTTTTCTAGCCCTTCTTTCTCTTGTTTTCTGTCCTGAATGATCAACATCAGTTGTTGGCCTTAATGTGAAAAAAGAGTACAATTAGTGCTGTGATGAATGTTGGTGAAAAATGATTCATGTACCCAACCGCTTTATTGAAAATAAGGCTTGTTCTGTTGTTGGTGTTCAGTGTTCCGGTTATGCGAAAAATATTCTCCAACACTGTAAGCTTCAAAAGGACATCTGAGTCTTGAGAATTGCATCATTGGTTTTCTGTTGCTCAATCCTGCTTGATATACCAATCATCACCTTCAATATTCCAGTGACCTCTTATGTCAAAAAGAAGTCCCAATCAAATTGTAATTGCCTCCTTTGCCACCATGATTGCCACTGTCGATATCATGTTAATGTTATTTGCAGTTATTGTTTCCATTTGTTAATTGAAACTTGAAGCTTTAGTGTGAAAGAAAATGTTTGTTGATAAACGTCTTGAAGCAAAACTGAGCAGGGAGAGTTGTTTTGGCGGCTTCCCAAACATATTTTAAAAACTTAAAATGTAGGTTTCTAAAGAATATATGCTACGTGAATTATCAGCCTGCCTTGCAACTTGTTCCTCTTCTCTTTTTTATTAGATATCAATTTAAATGGTATGGTGGCACATATTTGTATATCATGAAATATTTCCTTTTAACTAATCAGTATATCATCACTGTGGCAGGCTGCAGAACTTCTTAGGCACCCCCACCTTCAACCCTATGTGGTTAACACTCATCTGAAACTCAATTGCCCCAGACGCAACAGTCTACCAATTCAATGGGTGGAAACTGAAACAATTAACACTAGGAAAATTAGATTTTCAGAGCCAGTTAACGTCCATCCTCCAGTGAATAGAGAGAGACGATTATCATGTGGAAATGACAGAACCTTGAATCCCAGTGCATCTGGAGCTGATCAAAGTTTTCGTTCTTCTATGCAAAGGACTGAATATACTCCTTTTGATCTGCATCCGAGAATAAAACAGCTCTCCACTGAAAGCTCACATGAAGGGACGGTCATTACAAAAAATGTTACTGCTAGAACCTCAAAGATTGCTAAGAAACCAAAAGCAACAGCTATAAATGCTTCTACAGTGTCCAAGAGAAAATCAGAGTTGTCTAAGAATCGTGAACTGGTAAGATCTCAAGATAATTATGTGCATGGATTTATGCATTTTGTTTCTTGACCGTATCTAAAAGAGGCACGGAGGATTTGTGAAAATATAGCTATTAAATAGTTGTCTGCTTGGGAAAAAAATGCCGATGAACTACTGAACTAGTTATCTCAATTGTAATTGTCTATTTAGTGACCTTACGTGAAAATATAATCCAACTTGGCTGCCTGCACAAACTGCTTATTATTGAGTTTGATTTCCTAGTATCTACACTAAATAAAATGAACTTGATAGCCAACTCACAGAGGGATCCATGTTTACAATCTTTTAGATTTTAAATCTTATAAGCATTCTTTCGAAAATTTATGTATCACCTACTACACAAGAACGACCATGAGTTAAGATGGAGGCAGAAATTGGGTAGTCAAACTAACTCTGAAGTAAGAAATATAACAGCATCCTAAAACTACCATTGCACTCGTAATTTCTTAATTAAAATCATTAATACTTGAATTCAAGTTGAGGAAGCCAAAGATAAGAATGCATGACCAAGTGTATAATCCAAGATTGGTTATTACATCTCAAAATTCAACCTTCATAATTTGTATAATTATCCTGTCGTTTTAGGATATTTAATAGACACCTTTTGCATGATTGATATGGCACCATCATTATTAAAATGTCTCTCTCTTCGACTGTTGAACAACATTTTAGTCAGATGCATTTATGTTAGATGAGATTTCTAGTAAATAGCTGAAGCAATGTAAATTTGTATCAAGTATGGGTGTAGGAGGAAAATGCAGAAGTGGAAGTTAATGGTAAATATCAAATGGGTTGGTTGAGAACCTGAAACTCAGTGAGGAAGCAAGAGTTAGGTACCCTACTCTGAAATCGCTATTTCATTCTACACTCTCATAAGGCATTGATGGCTAAACTAATGACAACTGAAATATGTAGACTAAGAAATTAAGGGTACATCAGTGAATTACGTATAAAATAATCTCTCTTCTCATTACTTTTCTCTCCTACCTTCCCCTCCCCTTCCTTATTCCTGACACAAAATAAGGAAAAGTTGAAGAAGTA